GCACGGGGCTGGCCAGCACTCCCAGCCTGGCGCGGGCAGAGCCACCCGGCGTCGCTCTCCAACCACAGGAGAGAAACGCTTTTCTTCTCTCAACAAGCCTTTTCCGTTTTTGGAGAGAGCACACTGCTCCCCACGGTCTTATCAGCTAAAATAATCTCTCCGCATCGTTTTGGCTCAGACACCATGAGGTATTTGAAGGCGCAGCTAAAGCAAAAGAAACCCCTTGCTCTGCACCCCACTGCACTCTGCGTCGTTAAATACGCATCGCCACCCCAACGCCTTCCAGAAAGCACCGTGAAAAATACCCCGACATCACGCCGACCTGCAGACCAGCTCTCCTGAGCTCGTGACAGCGCCCAGGACACAAGCTGCCACCCGCGGACCTCAGAGCCCAGCCCAGAAGGCGGCGAGACCCATCTTCAGCCTGACCTCGTTGCGCTTTGCGTCCCCACGTCACCTCTCTACTTCTATCTCTCCGAAGCTCCTGCGGGATCTCCGGAGCCAGGGAGGTCAGGTGCTTTCTGTGGGAGAGGGTCCATGTGTGATGGGACTGGGGGTCTGCACCCTGCAGCTGCACAGTCAATAACCAGTCATGCGTTAGAGCTCAGGATCAGGGCTACAAATCCTGGTTTCAGATTAAGTATGTCCTCGCCGCACTGCAGAACGGAAGCATGTCCCATAACCAGAGTTAAGACACAACAAGCTGTAGAAATGAGCTGCAAATCAGCCGAACGCTGTTAAAAATAACCAGCTTTGGGGCAAGTGGGCTCCTATTTAGATCCGGAAAGTGGCTAACTCAAAGGTTCTCAACGCACAGGTTGAGAACTAAGCTGCCGTAAGGCAGTTGTTTGAGGGTCACTTAGTTCACAAATGCCATATCCAGCCGCTCTGGCCAGTCGCCTTGTGCCCCAACGTACCAGCTACCACGACCTGCTGAGGCTTGCTAGGAGGGAAGGGAGAGGGTAAAGGAAACCAGGGAAAGCAACTGCCTCCATTTCAGAACAAAAACTCATTTTTGTAATCCTCCACATCATAAAAACACAGCCCTGTGTTGTACAGCTCCATATTACCAAAATGCAACGGTTTGGGTTTTGCCTCTGTCAGATTCTACCAAGGCTGAAAGAAACCTGGTGAAAGCATTTTAACCTTACACTTGCTGCAGGCAAACAGCAGGCATGAAGGCACTTATTAGTCAAACTACCGTTTCCTTACGCGAATACCCGAGTCTCAAGACTTTGCCGTAGGGATTTTGTGGTAGTTTCAAAGGCAACCTGAGGTTTGCACGCTTGCTGCGGGTCTGCACCAGCAGCCGTCCAGCTTCGAGACTCATCTTCCAAAATGCTCAGCACCTGCAGTGTTCAGGGAACGTTCAGTGCAAATCGGTTAGCTTTTCTGCAGAATTAGTGCTCCTGTAATTGCTTTGTAGAGGTGCAGAGAGGCCGTTCCCTTGGCAAGGGGAAGCTCTTTGACACTCAATGGACGATGCTACAGACCTGCCAAGCATTACCATCTCCCCGCGTCTCTTCCCTGCCTACCGCCTGCCTAACACTCACCTTAAAAGACTGCACAAAGGTCCACAGCAAGATGCGGATAGTGTAACCCTGGCGAAGGAGCTTGATAAGTCTCGCTGCCCTGAAGAGCCGCAGGAAGCTGAGGTTGATGAAGTTGTCCTGCGGAAAGTAAAGGTTTTGTGTCCTTCAGAAATTAACGCGATTAGAAACCACAGCCCGCAAAAAAGAAATTAAAATTACCAGCTTCACGATCTAAGCAGCAAATCGGCCACCAGAAAACCTTCCAAAAGAAACATTCGTCAGTGCAGATCACTCCACATGCAGCAAGTATGAGAAAATCCCTCTCCACAAGAGCCCTCCCCTCTGCTACTGGGTCAATGATAGAAAAGGAAAAGGCCCTTTCACGCTGTCCATGGAGATCTTGTTTTCTTTGAGTAAGGCAGATTTTTCTCCCTCTAAAGACTCAGGGAGAGGTAATGGTGCCAATGTTATCATTTTGTAAAGAACGAGGTTGTTGTGAAGTCTTGGGCAGCTCGCTTTCTACAATGAATTGTACTTAAGCCAAGACGGTTGCAAGAGACTGCCGGTATAGCCTCTACCATAACAAAGAAAGTCGTTGTCCAGTGAAGACTAAAACATCCTTGAAAGAATGAGGATGTTTTCTAACCTGGAGATTTTAAACGTTTATACAACATGTGACTGGACAGGCTCATCAAGGAGAAATGGCACCAGCAAGACTGTTTGGAAGATGGATCAACGGCAGCAAATCAATGGGGGAAGTTGAGCATTCAACAGCAGGAGGGTGCCTTAGGAACCTGCTGATTTTTTTAGTTGTTATTAAATGTATCTTCACAGGTGGATTAAGGAACTGCTGGAGGCAGATTGTTTTGTATGATTCTCCTCACCCCGCACCCCATTTTTTTTTTTTTTTTTAGGGAAAAGAGGTTTCTTGCCCCAATGAGCTAATCTAGAGAGGGTTCTTTCCAAAACAAAACATGCAAAGCCAGATCCCTCTTGCCCTCCTATTTTAAGGAGATGAAAAATATTGCCCCTTTCCATAATGATTCCAATTCACTTATTTGTGAATCTCTGTTCACAGCCACTTATTTGACTGAGTTAGCTAAAGAGACAAAGCATCCCACTTTAAACTACCAAGCAGGGGAGTGGAAAATATAATCATAAGGAGCTCTTGTTGGTAAAGATGAGCAAAACCAGTCTTTCCCTTGTACTACTGTTTTACTGGAAGACACCCGGTCATATTGAACTGACCCACGTTTCTTGCTCATTTGGCTACAGAGCTCATGCTGAATTTGAGGGGCTTGTTGGATCTATTAATTTATTTAAATGCCAGCTCAGTTTTGGGGCCATCAGCATCGCATTCCACCAATCCCATCAAAGAGTTCAAGAAATCAGTCTCAGGCATGCACTCGGTTTCTCTCATGTTAAAAACGCAAGCAGCTCAGAGTTAGGCACAGACCGTATATCAGACTCAATCCTCAAATAAAGAGAAAAGAGAAAAGCACAGGTATGTTCAATGAAAGAGCAGACAACACTGAGCTCATTCCAATCAGCAACAGAAAGCAGCTCTGGCAGGCAAAACACAAGCACGGATTCCCCTGGGTTGTTCAAGGTCAGTAAAACAAACACTAAAAATTCAGCGTCTGTCTCTCAGCATCAGCTTCTGGTTGATTTTTCACGTCGTTTTAGTTCCCTTCACAAAATATCAGCTGAACTCACCTTAGCAGGTAAGGGCTGTATAGGACCCGGGGGGCAGAGCTGGACCGCGGCTGGATAACCAGGTGCCATCCGCAATCCGGTCCTTAGTAACGCGTCCCCGCCGCGCTGGCCGCGGCGCGGGCTGATACACCGCGGCGGAGCAGTGCAGGGGGCTTGCGTGCAGGGCGAAGGTTTAACCCAAAGCCCTTTCCGGTCACGGAAAGTTTCCCTGCCACCGGGACCCAGATCAGCCCAGTCAATGGGCATGGCACTTGGGCATCAGGCCTGCAAGTCTGACCAGTTATTACCTGCAGAGCGACGCTCAAGCCGGACCCTTCCTGCGCGCGAGCCTAACGCTCCTCCGAGGCGCGTGCGCACCGGCAGCGTCTGCAGGATCCGCCTTTGCGTCTGAACCTGCCTCACCTCCCTCTTCCCACCTTACTCCAGCGTAACAGCAAGAACATCGTTTTGCTCAGAGTTTGCTATGCCTCATAAGCGATGCTTCACATCTGCTTTGGTCTAGGTTGACGGCAAGGTCACGCTTAGGCTACCCCTGTGCTACACGAGGCTTTACACGGGGTAGTCTCTATACGTGCAATACGAAACAGGGAGCTCAAAACTGCGCAGCTGTGTCTATAACCCCCCGCTCCCTGAGATGTGGAGCGACAAACAGTCCACAACCCCCTTTTATTTTTCTCCTCCCAGCCCCAAACCCTCCCTCTCTGACTCATGCACTGCCATCTCCTACAGTGCAGCGGAAGCCTCAGCTCCGCGGGTAATAATTTGCAACCCAGGAAAATCCACCGTCACCAACGTTCGCAGAGCGTTCGAAGGACCGTTCTCTGCGCTGTTCGTAGGGAGGCAAAATTACACACGCTCGTGATGGATGGAAGGGCTCCGCGTGCGTAACCCTCAGCACACCGCGTAGAAAACCCGTCCTTCGACACCTCAACTGTCAAGGCAGGTCTTAGAATTGCATGCAGTTAAAGGGGAAACTCCACATTGCGATATTTCTTGTGTACAACAGTGTTTTGCACCAATTCTCCTCCCACTTAACTGCCTCTGTAACTTGAGATACGTATAATCATCTTCTGGGTTATCAAGGCCTTTCTGTCCAGGTTTTTGATTGCTTTTCTGTTGCACAGGCGCTAAAGGCTGACTGGTGCTCACAAGAGGCACCATAGCTTTATGATTTTACGATCCACCCGAGGACTAGCAAGTTATGTTTGAAAAACATTTCCCCCTGGCCTGTCACTATTTTCCTAAAAGAGGGGGCCCTGGTACCGAAGGCACCCAGCCACCCGGCAAGCCTGAGGGTCTGGGCACAGCCGCCGCTTCCCACGGCAGGACCGTGACCGAAGCTCAGCCCAGCGATGCATCCCTGGAGCAAAGCAGGAGGGAAACAGGGAGAAGAGACATCATGGACAAAGAACTGTCCTTGGTGGTTGTCCTGCCATGGGCAGCCTGCTGTTGTAAAAGAGCAGGAAAGAAAGGAAAAGGAAAAGGAAGGAAAAAAGAAAGAAAAGAAAGGAAAACACCTTTCTTAGGGTGTTAACCAGGCTGAAAAGCAGAAAAAACGTGAAGAATAGGGCGCACAGCCATTGCCCAGACCTGTTCCTCCAGTGTCTTCAGTAGCGGACTGGTTGCCTCCCCAGCGCAGGAGCTCTGCAGGGATGCAGAATGAGCTCCACCACCTCAGTAGATTTACTGATTTGGATTTTTAAACCTGCAATGGGAACGTGAGGGTTTTATGCCACGGCTGGACCTGCTCTGCAGGGTTTAGTGAAGGAGGCTACGTAACGCTGCCACAAAGCAATAAACTCAGCAGAAGGTGCAGAACACAAGGACCCCCTGGACTTGAAACTTTAGATTTCTGTCCTCAAAATGAAGGAATTGCCCAAAGTTGCAAAAAGCTATGGGAAGAGGAGGCTGATCAAGCCAAGATGGGGTCACTCGGGAAGCTTTGCCAGTTCTCCTCATCTGGCATCAACAAGAATTAACCAAATCTGCTGAGGAACTGCTATAGAGGAAATGGTTGTGTCCCCATTTAAATGTCCGTGGCATTGCCAGCACTGAAGGAGAGTCTTGCACAGGGTCGTGGCTTCCCTTGAAGCTTGGGGAAAACCCTTGCTGATTTTAAGAGGCTGAAGATTTTTGCCACGCTTGTCTGTGTCTTAGGGACTCTGCCATTACAAGCATAGCATACCGTGTCCTTTCACCCTGAGCCAGGAACACTGGAAAATGAGTTTATAAAGTGTGTGATTCTCAGATCTCTCCTCGTTCCCTACTACCTTTCAACTGCGGTGCTTCTGCTGTCGTCACTGAAGGTTGCCATCATCTGCGGTGGAAGGAGGAAGGCAGCTCCAGAGGACAATGTGGTGCTCCAAAGATCTAGCTTGGATGCCTTGGGTGCCAAGTGATGGAAGGAGCCTGGACCTGCACATATGACCCCAGAGACTGCAATCCTAACAAACCGCAGGATGAGCCTTTAAATCTTTAACCTGCAACGCGGACAGCAACAAGGCCAAAATTCAGCCAAACAGAGGTAAGCCGATTTTTCCAGCGTATTTTCATGTGCACAGCTGATGCCAGAGCACTTATCTCTGCTGCCTGGTCCAGGGGTGCACAAAAGTGAACGGTCCAAAGACGTCCTCACAGCACACACCCAGGATTCCCTTCTCAGACTGCACTATGCCAACTTTTAACTTATACAATGTCATTTTCTTCTTTGCTGTTTCCTAGCAGACAATTCCGTCCTGCGACCCGCCATGAAGGCATGCAGCTTATTTGCAGTCCATCATGAGGATTGACTCCAATTTGTTCCTTAACAGCAACTGTGCAACAGAAAGTCCAGAAGTTAACACAGATCTAAGAGCTGTTGTCAGGGGGCCAAGCAAGTATTTTTGAGAAGCTTATGGTCTCATTTCTGTTATTAACCATAGCCGAGAATAATTAAGAATGGAAGAAAAAAAAATATATATATTTTAGATTCTAATTTTCTTTATTCAACATCTTCAGCTTAATTGATGATTTTCAGAGACCAGTATTTCCGAAAGCATCTTTGGAATCAGGCACTAAAATCCCAGTGGGATCTGATTCCCAGTACTTTCCAGCCCTGTTCATCACACGGCTTACGCATTTTACTTGAGATGTTTGCTTTTGCATCCAGGGACACCGTGTCCACTGTGGTGGCAAAATGCTTCTATATGCTGCTATATCACAAAGAGCTTTCAAAGTTGAATAAAAATTTTTCTTTCCTATGACTTCTCTTTTGATTTGAGAGAAGCAGGGCTGTAATCACTTCAATAATTTTTTTTTTGCCTTACCATACAGTGTAAACCATGGGCTTAAAATATGTGTAAGGAAGGCAGTCTTCTTACCGGTACTGCTTCCCTTGGCAGAAAGCTCAACACATCTCATTGTAGAAGAAAACAAAACTGATT